AGAGGCCAGCCAATAGCAGCACAATCCTGCAGTGATTGTGTTTGCAGTGCTGTGGGCACAACAGGCATTGCCATCTGGATTTGAATAAAGTCATGCCATAAGAAGCAACAAGTAAGACCGTATGTGACGGTTTATTATAAAGACATTCAAATAGTTAGTAAACATCAAAAAGATTCACTGAATATTGCATCAGAGTACGACTGATGACAGATTAACAGAGGCTATTATGAATAAATCATTGAACCAATAGTAGGTTTCACTCAATTTATCAGATGATACTTTACACAGTGCTGCTGTGATTAATGGGCTCACAACCTGTAGTCAGAAAAGCCTAATGAAATTAGAATCTGAAATGTATTTTAACTTGAATAGCCAGCCACTTGTGCAAACAGCAAATCAATTCTTCTGCATATGTGAATGTTCAATGTATTTAATCATTCCTGTTTCACATTATACAACATTATACAAAGTCCATCATGCACTGATGGACTTTGTATAATGACTGGAAAGTTACACGTCAGGGTGTGCGCTGAGAAACAACCTTACTATGTTGACTTTGTGTTATAAAAAGTATTTATGGCTGCTACTGTGATGTTTTTAATCAGAGATTAGGAACACCAACAGATACAGGCTATTACTGCTTGACAGTCAACATTTGTCATAGCAAGGAGATATCTGATCCAAACGCCTGACGAGGATTAGTCACCTTGGAAGAGTAACAAGACTGTGTGAAGCTGAATGAAGGTTTTCTGTTACACCCTTTGATTCCTGCTTAAGTATATAAGACAGTATCACATGTCAAATACAGCTTTGTGTTATCAATACAAACCAGGAAACTGTCAAATTCATCTCAGTAAAGTTGTCTTGAGAGCAAATCCCATGATGTAAATGATGACTGGGATGCGTTATCAAGCCAAAGTGTGCAGCGATACTTTACACACTGACAGCTTTTAAAGAAATTGCGGATATAGTGTGTAAATATAATGTGTGCGCATCTGTGTAGTGGGTGTTGAAAATTGTAGTTGGGTGACACTGTAATGATTTTGTCTACACTAGTAAAGGGAGTTCAAATTTTTAATAGGATGTGATTATAAGTGTGGCATTTTATATCAATATTAAGTTTTAAATTAAAGTAATATTGGCCTGTTTTATTAAAAAAAGGAAAATGTTTTTAAAAAGTGTACAGTTGTTATTACATTAAGATAACAATGTAGGCCATTCATTTAACATTTAAATAAAATTTTGCCAGAATTTATTTGTTTATTTACGTGTGTTTGTAGTTATTGACTGCTTTCTTCAGTGCTTGACACTTCTGATTTTTCCAATTGCCTATGAAGGCAGCACGTGAACGTCAACAAATGCCTCGCGCTCTAAACCAGGGATAACGGAGCCAGGTAAAGATAAGGCTAACTTTTTATTAAAATTTCACGTTTGAATATCCTCACCTTTAATTTTCTTCCATTTAATAAACACCACTACACTTATAAGCATGCCTAAAACCACAGGGACAGTTATGTATCACCACGGAAACACATTTAAATTAACTTTAATATAACGTTATTGTTGTATGTTCTTATTATGCTAATTCACCTAAAGCTTCAAAATGTACTAGGAACTTTGTGGGAATTGTGATATTTTAATCAAACTAGGCGTCACAATAATAAAAATGTAGATAAATCTCCTTATAAGACTCTATATGCTAGATGTATAATAATGGTAACCAAGTCAGCTAAAGTTAGTCTAAATTCACTAGCCAATTAGCTAACGTTGGCTACTTATCCAACAACTCTTGTTTATTCACTTTAAATTAAAGTCTCTGGTATTTATTAACATTAGAAACGGGGAATGCTTTAATACGTTTTTTATCTAGGGGACATTCAAACCCAAATGTTAACTCTCACTTTTGTTTTTTTACCTCATGTTGCAGTCTGTAAACGTAATAAAAAGTGAGCTGCACTACGATTATAAATTAACAAAATGGCTGCTCAAACCTACATTGCCATCTGTGAGCTGCATCCCAATTTCTCTCACCCGGTGAGTACAGATGGCTTTCAGGCAGGTACAGCAGTATTATTTCTCTCCTCTCCTGTCCTCTCTTTTTCTCTCCTCTCCTCTCACAACAGCCCTTAAAATCACTGTATTATAGTCACAAATAATTTAAATGTATTTGCACACTGATGATACAGGATGCATTTCAGACCTGTTCTGTGTTCATCCCTTGTAATGCTTTTCTCTCTCTCTCTCTCAGAAAGTGGCAGGGATCATTATTTGGAAAACTGATGTCAAAAGCTTCCCTGATAGAAAAAGTTCGTATCTTTTTTTTTTTTTTTTATCAAGCCACAACTGTCAAAACAGCACTGGACTTCACAGTGTTGTACAGCAGCGCCCTCTTCTGGAGAATAAATAAACCAACATCCCTTCTATGAGCTTTTCTGTCCTTCTTTTTCATTGGACTGCAAACTAACCTAAACTATATGTACGAATTTCAGATATTGGTGTAGACAGGTTCACTTTTAGCTTCACCATAAAGGACTCACCTGACTTCTACATTAATGTGGCAGCCTGGGGAAGCAGTGGATATATCAATGAGCTCTTAAACAGCTTCAGCATTGGAGACTGTGGTGAGTAAATCACTGCCAAAGTTCCCACAGACCCACAAAATATATAGTTTCCAGATTTATCAGAGTAGTACAAAAAGAAAATTGGCCATTTTCAGTTTTGACTAGTGTCTTCTTTACTCCAAAACAGGTTAATTTTGAATGCTTAAATGCACTCACCAGCCACTTTAATAGCAATTCAAGTATGCACTTCAATGCAACACTTCTGCCTTAACATCTGTGTTTATAAACCTCAAAATTTTTCAGTTTTTGATTAAATTGTCATAAATGTATACATTCAATTATATGTTTACTATTGAGGTCATAGTTGAAGGTGGCATTCTACTGGACTACATTATATTTAGGGGTATCAGACTATTTAGGAACACCTCGCATTAGTCCAGTACAGCACCACCTATATGACCTCAATAAATTGCCTATACACAATATTGTTTTCTATCATTTTTGCAGTCACCATTGAAAATCCTTTGGTTGCCATCAAAGACCCAGAGAAAGGGGACAGATTCTGTCCTATGACACCAAGGTAACTCACACATAATTCCTAACTATGGTCACCCTATTGGAGGGGTGTGAAGTTACCACAATGTAATGCTGTGTAAATATGATGTAACATGTGCATGTAATATACATATAATATGTGTAATGTCTGATGACGGTGTCAGAGAAGTCACTGATTCAGAGGCCTCTATCTGCTGTCTCAGCCTATACAGGCTGCTGGTGACGGAGGCTCATTCCCAGGTGTGTCTGTGTGCTGACATGGACACCATCGACAGACTTCTGACACTGATCCACCTGCCAGTGAAGGACTCCAGAGATTTCTACTCTCTGGGAGACATAGTGGCCAACGGACAGAAGCTGGATGGCACAGTGATAAATGTACTGGCAGCAGTGAGATCGGTAAGGTACATTAAGGCCGCAATCTTTCAGTATCATATACGGCTAAAGGAGAAACCCTCAAGCTTATACATAGCAATTTAGAAGTTATTTTTCAACAGGATTTTTAATTAACCTGATCAATGTGTGAGTGATTTCCTACATGTGCCACAATTCTTTTCTGTACACAGTATTTATATTGCTGTACCACTCTTGATAGCTGTGGAAGAAAAACTGAAAAATGTTTAGCCTGTAAATATGAGAAACCTGCCTCAGAGCTGCTTCATCAGTGTTTAAGGGTGGATGTTTCTTTTAAGACCATGTGAGCAGAGGGTCATCGGTTTGAATCCTGCAGTGAAGATCTCAGTGGGTCAACAGAAAAGGATTGTAGTTATGATGTGCATGATTGTTGAATCAGTCCTGGTTTGCATTGGTCATGGAATTTTTGGGATGCTATTGATTTTTGAAAGGTGTTTTCCAACCAGGGAATACTGTATGTGGAGTATTGATAACTTCAATGAGAAATTCCAATAGTGTGATAAAATGTTACTTATGGTTTGCTCTACAGGATTAAACCCAAATGTGTTTCTCAACTTTTCTCACACACATTTTACATTATAAGGTGGTTTTTCAGTTGTGGTTTCCTGCACAGTGAGTTCAGCTGTGGTGGAAAAGGCTGTTAATGTTTCCTGAACTGAAAAGCAACATGAAGAAGCAGGGACGGGCAGTTAAAATGTGGTCTGATGTAACATTATGAAAGTCGGTCAAGGACATTATGAAACTTGGGAGGCCTGAATGTTTTTGACAATGCGCATCGATGCTGAGCAAATATATCTTTTGTAAATACACATTTATTGACTTAAACCGTATCTTATAAATCAACTGATAGATTACATTATGTCTGTTTTGTCTGTGTGGTTACATGCTAGTATGCTTGTTTTTGCCTGGAACATACAAACCTAAAGTTCAAGAAGAGGCCATGTCCTGCACTGCATGTCACTGAAGTTTTGGCATGAAGGGAAGATGGAGTGATAGGAACTTCAGGTGCTTCGGTTTACATTTTCAGATCGGAGTGCCAAAGCAGTTCACCACTTCAGATGGCCGTAGAGGGCAGAGGCTGGAAGTGAAGCTCTTTGATGATTCGGTCTCCTCCTTCCCCCTTATCTGGTGCGTCCTGGACGTTTATTAATATATTGGAAAATGAATGAAGATTGTGACTTTTGCCTTTTGTTTTGTTGTCCAGTCTATTAGCGTTGTGGATCTCTCTAGGTTACCACAATGTACTTTTGTGAAATGAGGCCTTAGATTAACCAGCTGAACTGCATGTGTGTTTGATTTCGACTGCGCTCTGCCCTGAGTAACTACCTGACCTCTGCTTCACTCACAGCTGGGACAGAGAAGCCATTCAACTCGTGCAAACTGCGATACCCAAGGAGACGGGTAGGTTAACAGCTGCTGCTCATTCTCAGCCACAAAATGAATCGTTATTTTACTGTTATTCATGCCTGTCATGTCCCATTAACACACTGTACTAAAGAAGAACATGGAACTGTTGTTTTAACCTTTATTCTCTATTCAAAGTGCTCTTCATAGCTGATGTAAAGATTAGCTTTGACAGCTTTCGCAATGGCATGACAGCAACTGTTAACTCGAAAACCATTATCACTGTCAATCCTGGTAAGATATTCACAGAAACATTTACAAAAATATAGGATTCTGTTATAACATATATTGTGAAATTAATCAAAACAAGACTAAAATACTGGTTTGAAATTCCAGCCAACCAGTTGTGCTGTACAATGTTGAAAACAATATAATTTTCCCACTGTGCAAGTAGAATATTTTCAGGGGGGAATGAAAGTCAGTCGATCATAATTTGCTCTCAGACACCAGGGAGGCCAGCCTGCTGTTCAGCTATGCTAAAGAGGTGTCTGAGTCTGGAGCTCTGGATCAAGATGAGGATGTGCCTGGTAGGTTACTCATTCTGATAGAATGAGTAGACGTAAAGCTATATCTTGATATAAAAGTTTTTTTAAATTTCACACTTCTCATACATTTTTTTTCCTTCTGTCTTAAATTTCTTTTTGATTATACATTAATATACATGCATTGTGTACTGTAATCGCACTCCACGATACTGGATACATGTAAAAGAAAGGCATAGATATTATAGTGCTGTGTTTGCCTCTGTAGTGGATTTCATCACCGATGTGTACACAGTGAGCCAGCTGAAGCAGAAGGCCCAGGAGAGCCCTGAGGCTTTCTTTGGCATCATGTACAGCTTCATCTCCAAGCTCGACCTTGACTCTTCTGTTTCAAAAGTCATCAGGACACGGTGGTGAGTTCAAGCTAGTGCATAAAGTGGATGCATTATGAAATAGTTATCACAGTCTTTGCCAGTCAGTCTAAACCCAAGTCTGTTTTCTCTTCTGTGTCAGTTCCAGGTGTAAGTTCCAGGTGACTGAGGACATGCAGGTTTGCACCAACCAGTTGTGTCCAGGGAGGGAACAGACCCTTTCAGTCACCACAGGCTTTGACCTGCTGGTGGACTTCACAGACCACACAGGC